AGAGAGGGGGGGAGAGAGAGAGAGAGAGAGAGAGAGAATCCCAAGCAGGCCTCTGTGCCGTCAGCCCAGAGCCTGATGCGGGGCTTGATCTCACGAACCGTGAGACCGTGCCCTGAGCTGAAGTCAAAAGTCAGACGCTTAACCTACTGAGCCACCGTATCTAGCATGAAGAAACCTGGAGCAGGAAGGGATCATCCACGGTGTAAAACAGGAGAACAGAATCGAGGGAGGTGAGCTGGTAGGGCCACGGCCACACGGTGCTTAGCGTGTGATGCTTCCCTACGGTGACGACAGCCGAGGAAAGTTTGTGAAAACCGAAAGAGGACTTCGTATTCTGCTACTTCCCAAACATACAACTCTCATTGCTTTTTCAAACAGCAAACGGATGTTTCAGAAGACAGTGATGACGATGTGGATGAAGATGAGATTTTTGGATTCATAAGTCTTTTAAATTTAACGGAAAGAAAGGTTAGTTTCACTGGATGACTGTTCATTAGACCGAAATCGCTCGTATTTAACACACGGTGATAGTTTTTTATATCAGATAGCGATGCTATAAGGGTACGTGCCCTTGTGAAATCTCACCGTAATCTTTTTTTAATACGAAAGCGTCTGTGTTACGAGTAATCTATGCCGTTCGGGGCCTTGAGTCCCTGTGGCGTGGAGAACCATCGGGCACTGGTGGCCTGGTGTCGGTATTGACACGGGAGCCGATGGTGCTGCTGTCCCTGCGGCCCTTGCTTTGACTGTGAGGCCTCGTTGCCTCCTGCTGCGGAGGGCGCTTCCTCACCTTCGCTTGGGTTTCCATCCATCTCTTTGTTGGCGAGAGTTCTGGCCAAAAAGGGGAAACCGGCTGCTGATGGAATCAGGCGCAGGTTACGCTTCACCTTCGGGTTCTAGACGGATTGGAGTTGCCATGCCAGTGTGCGTGTGTCCGTGCGCCCCTCTCTCACCGCTGCTCACGGCCGGTACGCGACCTGGGTGGCGATGCTTCCGCAGTCAGCACTGAGGAAGTGTGGGAAACCGCCTCTGCCGTGAGACAGAAGTCACAGCCCTCACTGTCACCTCGCCTTGTCTTTGCTTTGCAGGGTACGCGGTGTGCTGAACAAATTAAAGAGTTGATCCTGAGCTCCTGTGAGAAGAGCTGTGGGAAGAGCTCGGTCGAACAGCTGGACGCGCTTTTCAACGACGCCTCCAAGCCTGTGGGCTTTCTCCTCAGCGAGAGGTTCATTAACGTTCCTCCTCAGATCGCGCTGCCCATGCACCAGCAGCTCCGGTAAGAGACCGGGCCGCGCGCCTCCACACGGTTTTTCCCTGGTGGGTTCGGCAGAGTGATGCCAACCGTGTGTGTGTGGGGCGGGGGGCAGCTGGAACAGCCAGAGGGGAGGCCGTGTCCCACCAGCCCTTGATTACTGGTGGCCGTAGTCTGAACGGCCTTACGAGATTGACAGGGGTACAGGAGCAGCTCATGTGGCCTTCTTACCCGTCGGACTAAGGTTTCCCCCCTCTTCCCAGATTTCTGTAGCATGGGTGAGGTGCCAAGCGATACGCCAGTGACGAAAACTGGGTACAATTCCTAGATTCCACAGGGACGTTTTGTAGCTAAGGAAGTGGTCCCGACACCGTGTGTCTGGCTTCTCAGGGTTTGTTGCTGTCGTGTTTTTATATTACGGGGGGGGGGGGGGTGTTAGGTTTCCACCATTTTAACTGTAAGCAGGGCTCAGGCTCGGGATTGACTGGACCTTGAGGTAGAGCGGGGCGGAAATACAGACCGGCCCCCGTGCTGCGCAGACGCCCCTGCTCCGGGGCCCCCGGCGGTGCTTGGTGGGAAGGGAACTGCCGGCCACGAGGACCCCCAGCTGCCGTGCGACGGGCTTCTGCCGCGTGTCCTTTGTTGCGCTTCGCCTTTTTTCTGATCCGCTGGAGCTCGTGTTTGTTTGGTTTCACGGGAGGGTGATCTCCCTCCTGATCCTCTGTTAAGGAAAGCCAGAGGCTTTCCATCTTTGTTCAGCCAGATGCAGAGGGACATTCTGTAGTTTCCAGAAGGAAAAAAGATTTAGGCTGCATTGCCACTCCACAGACTACTCTAGAATTTAGGGCACCTGTGTCCTACCGTGCCCTTTGTACAGCAGGTCAGGAGTGAGTTCCAGACTCTAGTGCCGGGAGCCTAGTAGTCACCTGCTCCGAGGGCTTTGGTTATGGCTCTGTGCCTTTGTGGCTTTTTGTTAAATATCTGTCCTTAAAAATGCACCTTCTTACATGTTGATGTCGAGTGAATCTGAGACTCGTTATTTACCGTGTATCCACAACTCAGCATCATCTGACTCATCAGACTACTTACTATAAAACACTGCTGTAATTAATGGAAAGTGCAGTGGACTACAGAAATAACACCCGGTGCTTTAGAAGTGTCCAGACCTAACGTCGGTTCATTAAGCCTGTGTCAGACATGACAGAACCCACCGAAGAGGCCTCACTGGTTTTCTCTGTGCTCTGGTTCGTGGATTTCATGGATTTCACCTGACTCAGCAGGCAGACCTCTGTGTTACACCTTTTAGGAAAGAACTGGCAGAGGCACACAGAACGAACAAGCCGTGTGGAGAGTGTTCCTTCTACCTTCTGATCAGCAAGACGTTTGTGGAAGTTGGAAAAAACAATCCCAAAAAGAAATGGAGCAGCCAAGAGAAAGAGGAGTTAATGTTTGCAAATGCAGAGGAAGAATTTTTCTATGAGGTAAGACTGGCCTGTTTTCACCTATTCGTTTAGATGTCAGTAAGGATCTTCTTGACAATCAGCAGGATTTGTTGCTCTCCCATTTACGTCAAAGTCCTTTGAGTATGGCCACTCTTCCTCCATACTGGCAGCAGCTGGCAGCTAACACAGGGCCTACACCTAGTAGGTTCTTAACAGGTTAAGTCGCCAGCTCCCCCTGGCCCCGTTGGTGATGAGCCTGGGGAGGAAAAAAGCTATGAACGCTCAGTGGTGGTCAGGCACTTACAATATGCTGACTAGAAGATGTTTAGTTCTAGAACCACTCCGTGAGGTAGACGGTAGTCCTGGTTTACAGATGGGGACGTGCAGTCCGAGGGCGATGGGAGCCATTATCTGAGTCACGCAGCTGGTGGATGTGGAAGCTAGGGCAGGCCCATTCTCCCCCATGATGGCTCACACGCTTCTCCCTGCCCTCAGTCCTGGATGTCCTCCCGCTTTTGGGCTTTCTGGCACTTTCTTCCTGTAAAGGTATATTGTGCTACGATGGACCACCAGACACCAGAGAACATGCTTTCTCACCCTGACCTCGTCTCAATGTTGAATCTGAGGGGTAACTTACTTTCCTGGATTAGAGGATATCTGTCGCTATTAAAAAGACACCCACTAAATACTAAAACACTACCAGATTCAGCACTGCCCTGGTTTTTCAGGAATAAATAGTGAAAATGTTTAGGCCGAAGCAGCACCTTAGATAGATTGTTTCAGGGAAGTATGTATGTATGGTTGGTTTAAGATGGCCTGGTTACGCAGACTTCCCTGTCGTCACGCGACAGCTTTATGCCAAGGGAGCAGCCAGGACAGTGAGGAAAGACCAGTGTCTGAAGACCATGCTCATTAATTGTCAGATGTTAGGAGTCTTTCTTTCGCTTTGCTGTTGCAAGATTATTTTGAGAATCAAATGAGATCTTGAACACGAGCAGAATTATAAATACTGATAAATGATGGTGGCAGTACTCTCCCTTAGCTGCCGTTCCCCTCATCGCCATGGGGCACCACTCTCCTCGCTCCTCCTGTGAGTTAGGAATTTGGTAAGCATTTTGTAACTTCTGCCTGACTGCCCCGTCTGAGCTATTTCTGTGTCCTGCTTCCGTTCGCCGTCATTCTTAAACATGTACCAAATACTATTCCTGGCTGCCACGTAAATGAGTTTTGCCTTTAGGTTGGCTGAATTTTTAACTTAATATATTTGCTTTAGAAGGCAATCTTGAAGTTCAACTACTCGGTGCAGGAAGAGAGCGACACCTGTCTGGGAGGCAGGTGGTCCTTTGACGACGTCCCGATGAAGCCCTTGCGAACTGTGATGTTGATTCCAGGTGACAAGATGGACGAAATCATGGGTAAACTGAAAGAGCATCTCTCTCTCTGACCCGTTTCCCATGGGCAGCAGGGGGCTGGTTTTCGTTTTTGTAAAATTACCAGAAAACAGCTCAGATTTACTGAAAAACTCATCACTTTATTCAGATTAAGTTCCTCTACAAAAAAGTAGGGTTCTGTCACCTGTGTCTGTGACACATTTACAAAATAGCCTTTTTAAAAAAAAAAAAATTTGGTCGAATTACGAACGGTTGATGAAGAGCTTTTCCAGTAAGAAGGAAAATGTGGAGTAGTAATTTAAAGAACTCAATAAAAACTTCCATTTTTTATTTTTAAATAATGTACAAAGTGTAACTCTTTTTGAGACTCTCTTGTGTGGGGTATGATGTCCGTATTCAAGTTGAAGGTCCTCACCTTGCTCCAGTGGATCAGCCGTGCGGCCCGGCTGGGGTACCGGCTACACAGCGCGCTCTAAGGGGAAGGTGCAGACGAGTCACTGCAAGGCGCACCTTTGCTCTGCGGTTTCCGGGCACTTCTCACACATGTTCTGTTCCTTCTTCATTGTTGACATGGGTGATAGGTGATCCATCACCTGGTGTAGAATATCCTTACTCTCACTGGGAGGCAGGTTACTGAAATAGTATTGTGGTGCCAGTTGCATAAATCTGTGGAAAACAGAGAAATGAGACTCCTTTCTTCTTTGGTGAGAGATACCAAACGTTACGAGTGGGTCCTTCCCACCCCCGGAGAATCTACTTGTGGAACTGCTATTTAATTTGAACTCCGCAGTCTCAGTCTGCTTTTGGAGAGTAGATACTTCCTGTGGTATGCAGGGAACCAGTCCAGCTGCATTTCTAGGATCTCTTCTCTAGGGTTATGCCACACAGTGGAAGACGCCCACCGCTAACCACCAGGGGAAACCCGTACTCGCCCTAAGGCCCATCATCACAACACGTCACATCGGGTGTTTGGGGAGCACTCCGGGTGAGTAAGAGAGGGAGTATCTTTGCCTCCTCCTCTTATTAACTGATGCCACTCCGCACCCAGCCACTGGCTACTTTGGGTTCCTGCCTCGCACGTCACTCTGTCCGGGTCCAAGTGTACGTTCAGGTGGACCCAGCATCTGCAGTAGCACCCGGGAGAGGATGCACTCCTGCTTAAAACTCTCTAGTCGGTTCCTACTGCACTTAGGATAAATTCCAAACTCTCGTGTGGCCCGGAAGCCCTCCACCTCTGGGTGCCTGCCCGTCTTCCACCTCCCCCCTTCACCCCTTCCTTCCCCACCAGCTCCGGTCTCGGCACATCCGTTCCGAGCGGTGGCGAAGCCGTTCCTCCTCAGGTTTCCGCCTGCAAACACTACTTCTCTGCAGCTTTTTGTTCCTCTTAAGATACTTTATACTTTGTTTTGTACCTCGACACTGTGTTCTTTAAAAAATTTTTTTTTTTAAAGTAATCTCCACACCTAACGTGGGGCTTAAACTCATGACCCCAAGATCAAGAGCTGCATACTCCACCATGGAGCCAGCCAGGCGCCCCTCTGCGCTGCATAGTTTATGCTGTGTTCTCAAAGGCAGGAACGTTTAGATAATCATCCACAGAGACCTGCCATTAGTAAGTACTCTCCATGGAAATGCAGATTGGTGCCAGCATAAACTTCTACCTGAAAATGTAATAAAAACTAAATTTGTCATTTACTCAAGTAGGAGTTCAAAAGAACCCCTTTTTTGTCCATTAAACTTACAGTTCAGGAGAAATTTCTGAGGTAATCCTGATGTAGTTGTTCTCTGCTATGCTGAACTTGTGGAAGAGAACCCACTCTGGCATCTTCTTGGTGATGGAGTAACCGGACCGGGGGTGCAGCTGGGCAACCTGCTTGTGGGTCAGCATCAGGTAGTTACCCGATCCGTCCACGTCCCGAGCAATCTACAAGGCAAAGGTTTTAAGAACAAAGACTTTGTGTTAATATGGAGATTGACAGACAAAAATGTTTTCTTTTAAAGATTCCTGACTATTTTGGGGCGCCTGGGTGACTCGGTCGGTTGAGCATCCGACTCTTGGTTTCAGCTCAGGTCATGGTCTCAGGGTTCATGATTTCGAGTCCCACATTGGACTCTGTGCTGACAGCATGGAGCCTGCTTGGGATTCATTCATTCATTCTCTCTCTCTCTCTCTGTCTCCCCGCCTTCCTCTCCTCTCCCTCTCTGCCCCTCCTCCACTCACTCTCTGTCCCCTTCAAAATAAACTTAAAAAAACTTTATGTAAAAAAATTTCAAAGTCTTTCATATAAAACAGTGAAAACTACAAATCTGCCACCCAAGTTTCCTATTTTCAGATCTAAAAAATAAGCCAAAACTGTGTTTTGCCCAAAACTTTCAGACAGTGACGATACTAACTTTAGTATGGGCAGGGCAGCAGGTGAAAGACAGCAGTGCCACAAATGTTAAATGTTTGGGTCAAGGAGTAACCTTGCCACGTGACGGGCAATGTACTCAAACGTCAGGTGTTTTGTGCCGGATGTTCTAGCTCTTCTGACACAGTAACGCTGATGTAGGGCCTTTTCCCACACAGGTGAGGAAATCCACATTGAAGTGCTGTGTTTTTTTTCTTTATGAAGACTAGAGTTTGAGTGGAAATACCCCAGTGTTTCTCTTACTATGATGGGAAGAGCATGCTTACACCTGTAACGTGCTGTAATTTAGGGGAGCTACATTCGTCAGCCTTCATTTTGGAAAAGAAAGAAATGAGATGTTATCTTTATTTCTTTGTTGGGTATTAGTATCACCCGTTAAATATGAACTAATTTGTGGGGCGCCTGGTGGCTCAGTCGGTGAAGGGTCTGACTTGGGCTCAGGTCATGAGCTCATGGTTTGTGAGTTCAAGCCCCACGTGGGGCTCTGTGCTAACGGCTCTGTGCCTGGGGCCTGCTTCCCATTCTGTGTCTCCCTCGCTCTCTGCCCCTCCCCCGCTCACGCTCTGTCAAAAAATGAATAAACGTCAAAAATAAAATATGAAATAATTTGCAAACCAGTGAAGTGAGGGACTGTGTCTGATGTTCAGCCAAAAAGTGTTTTAATAACTTCCCCTCTGTAATGAAGAAAGACCTTTTGTCCTTTTGGACCAAGTGAACATATTCTGTCTTGGTCCTTCAGTTCCCTCAAGAAAATGTATATTTAAATATTAAATCTTTAGTAACCTAGAGGCTTCTCGGTTTTATTTTACCTTTTTTTTTTTAATGTTTATTATTTGTGAGACCAAGACACAGCATGAATGGGGGAGGGTCAGAGAGAGAGGGAGACACAGAATCTGAAGCAGGCTCCAGGTTCTGAGCTGTCAGCACAGAGCCCGACGTGGGGCTTGAACTCAACAGACTGAGATCATGACCTGAGCCAAAATTGGACGCTCAACCGACTGAGCCACCCAGGTGCCTCTATTTTACTTTTTTAAATAAAATTTTGAGAGGGAGAAAGAGCCTTCACGCATGTGTGCGGGGGAGGGGCAAAGAGAGGGAGAGAGAATCCCAAGCAGGCTCTGTGCTGTTAGTGTAGACCCCAGCGCTGAACCCACGAATGGTGAGATCATGACCTCAAAATCAAGATTAGTATGCTCAACTGACTGAGCCACCCAGGTGTCTCTATTTTACTTTTTTAAATAAAATTTTGAGAGAGAGAAAGAGCCTTCACGCATGTGTGCAGGGGAGGGGCAAAGAGAGGGAGAGAGAATCCCAAGCAGGCTCTGTGCTGTTAGTGTAGACCCCAGTGCTGAACCCACGAATGGTGAGGTCATGACCTCCAAATCAAGACTAGTATGCTCAACTGACTGAGCTGCCCAGGTGCCCTGGTTTTCGGTTTTAAAGTTAACATCAATCAAAGAATCATCCTAAGTGAGAGATTCCTAACAGAATCATGGGAGATTTTGTAAAGACCCACCCCGAAGACGGCCCTCCCCGTTCTCACCTGCATGAAGTAGCCGGACAGAAGAGCTTTCTTTATGTTCAGAGCGTTTTCCTTGGAGCCAAAAGCAGGTTCTGCGCAGGGAAGCTCGATTCGCTTGACAATTTCTAAGAGTTCAGCTCGGATGACATCCGCCATCCTGAGTGCGCAGCAGTTGAGGAAGTAATCGTGACACCACTTTTCAACACAGTCTGGGAGGGAAAGAGGAGTAAAAGAAATGACTTGTCATAAGCTGGAAGAGCCCAGGCCGGGAACAAGGCATGATCTCCGTGTCCTCTGGACTCCTCCCCTAAAGAGGTGGTCACCTAAGTGACTGGGAGGGAGGCTGCGGTGGTTCCGGGACCCCGGCGAGCTCCACGAACCGCATGCTGCTGGCACTGACCAGTGAGTGGGTCACCCTTCGTCTGCAGCTCTGAAGGGGCACAGGAGGCTGGCCCCGACTGACACCCGTCTTGTGTACACGGCAAGGATGTACGAGGCCCCAACGTTTGATCCAACTAAGGAGAAAAGCGTACGGTAGAAGTCCCCTGAGCTGTGAAACTCTCTCTGCATGTTTATAAGAAAAGGATCACTACTGGGCCGAGTTGGAAATCGTGGGAAGCTCACCTTCCTGCCCTAGCTGCAAATTTGTATTACAGTTCAGTCACCTGTTCAGTGTGAAGTTCTTTCGTGCCACCTGCAGTCACTTAGGGTGGATCCGGCGTTCTGCCTTGCCCTGGTGGTGCCCCCGGCCTTGGCACAGTGGGCAGAAGAGCCCGGCCGTGCACTCAGGCCCACTCAGCGCGACAAGAGCACGTACTTGGGCAAACAACGGCCACCCACCCCCCTTGCTCTCAAAAGAGGCCACCAAACTCCCCGGATCTTTTCTGGCTCCACCGACAACTTTTTCTTGTCAGCTGTGAAAAATGAGTCCCCCACTCTACAGAATTCTGCCATTCAAGCGGCTGTCCTGTCTTCCAGTTCACTTCCCATCCTATCGGAGCAAAGGAGGTATAAGATGCTTCATGGAAAACGAAGTTCCCCTTGCAGGAAGGGAACTCACCGGCTGCCTTTGGGGGCCCAGCCTTCACCACACCGCCCTAGCCTGTCGGCCCCTCAGGCTCCTCTTCCTGTCTTTATTAATGCCGAGCACTGGAGTCACCCACGTACGTGTTTCCAGTTCCCTTTCCACTGGGTCCCTCTCCTGGAAACCCATGCACTCGTCCTTTCACATCAGGACTTCTGCCTCCGCTTTCACACGCGCCCTTCTGCTCTTTGCACAAGTCCCCTCCCTCCTTGACCGACCTGTGGCCTGGTTCTCTTCTCCGGCCTCCTGCGGCACACCTGTCTACTCTTCCTGTTATCTGGAGCAGGGATCTGTTCGGCTTTGTTCTCCGTGTCTGCGTTCTCTCTCCATCTAGTGAGTGTGCGAGTCGGGGAACGCACAAAGCACAGCTCTGACCCAAGGGCACTGAGAGATGGCAGTGCCCTTCTCTCTTCCCTGCACCCTGGAGGACGGGAGCTGTGCTGTGCAAGACTCTGGGTCCCCATGTCATCGTGCCCAGGCACAGCAGCCAGTGCGTTTAGGGACTCGGGCGCCATCTGCTAGGTGACCAGCAGGGCCGGAGAAGGGTGAGTTGCCAGCTCGGTTTTATTTGGGGAGGCAAGGGTGGAAACGAGTAGGTTTCTCAGAATCGCGAGCATTCACTTACGTTCGCTGGTGGAATTCAGAGCCGTGTCCTGGTAGGCCTTGTAAATGTTGATGAGGGTAAAGTGATCTCCTTCAGGATGTAAAAATGTCTTCCAACAAGTCAAGGCAGCCTCCTCAGCTCCACGCGGCAGATTAGAAAAGCAATTGGGAGCTTTAAGACACAAGAGGTCACGAGGTCAGCAACCCTGGAGCCCGCTTCATGACCTTAGCATAATGCAGAGGGAGGGGCTCACCACCGTGTGCAGAACCGCTCCTGTGTGCTTCCCTGAATAAAGGTTATTCTTGCTTACTTAGAAGTCAAAGGGATGTAGGGTGAGTTCTCATGAATGTGTCTGTCCCTTTTCACGTTTGCTTCTCACAGGTCTGGTTAGCAGAGTTAACAGCCTGCTGGTATTACCATCAGAGCAGGGGCACCCGAGACGCTTTGAGGGCAGTGGCTAGAACAGGATGGGAACTTTGAGGTCTAACGCGGCACGGCCTAGGGCCTGTTCTGCCAGTAGAAGAACAAACTAAAACCTATAAACCAAGAAGAATGAAGGTGGTAGGAAATAAACACCTAACTCTTTGGAGGAGAACACTCCCAGCAACGCATTTTTACTTCAATGTCTGATTAAGAAATTCACTGGGGTTTGATGGATTTTTTCATATCAAGATCATCCTTATAACTTTCTACCTTTCAAATCTAGTAAAATACTTCATTGTCACTTCAAAAGGTGAAATGGATTACTGCCTCCGTTAGGTACTTCATAAAATACTTCAAACGGACCTCATTTAACTCTGTCCCCGGGAAAGCCTCACAACGCGGAAGAACAGCCCTTCAAGGGTACCTGTCACCATGGCGGCGATCGTCAGCATCTCCTCTACGCAGTCGAATTCACAGGACGCTAAGATCGACTTTGAGAGTTGGGGGTCAAGAGGAAACTCCGACATGATGATCCCGAACTCAGAGAGATTCCCGTCATTGTCCAGCGCCGCCAGGTAGTCCAAGTCTTCCAGAGCCTGCATCAGACTTTCCGGCGCTAGCAAAGAAAAAAGCAGCAGTAGCTTACATCATCTACAGCCAAGAGGGCGTAACGTACTGGACTTCCCTTCCCGCACGAAACAACCATACGGGGCAAAATATGTGAAACAACCATTTACGAGACAACGGACGTCAGGCCGTGAAGGACAGGGATTCCTGAGAGGGGGACACCAATGAAGTGAGCCCCGTGGCTGCCCAGCTTAAGGCCTGGGGAGAGTTTCCCGCCTGCAGTGTCAGTGGGGACCCAGGCGGGGCCTGCCAGACTCCCTGAGTTATAAAGATGGTGCTGAGCGTGTGGGGAGACTCAGGCGGCCAGGGCCTGCAGGTGGGGGAACACCTGACAGGAGAGAGCCATAGAGAGACAGGACTCAGAAGATCTCTGAAAGGTCCCCTCGATGCATCGGCAGAACATGCGTAAGAAACTATGTCAGGCCGCAACAAGAACCATCCAGACAATTAGACGGACAGTGCCTGATGCTCACACGGGATCTAGGATACTGTCCACTTCTACCCACTGGGCTGGGAAACCTCACAACTCAGGGGCCCTGGGCAGGAGACACGGAAGGGACGAACTACCCCCTGGACGTGCACCGCTCCACTCCGCCGAACAAACAAAACCAGGATCTGGAAGGATCATCCTGCAGCCAGGATAAAGGTCAGGCATATTTATAGGAATACAAAATATCCAATACCCAACACAGCAAAGTGCACAATGTCTAGCATACGATAAAAAATTATGAGGCATGAAGAACAGGAAGCTCCAGTCCCATAATAAAGAGAAAAATTAACCAAATGAAACTGACCCAGGACTCGGATGACAGAAATAGTAGACAAGGATGTTAAGAGCTATTTGCCAGTGCACAGAAGGACAGAAGGCTGATTTTCTCTGTATCTATGTTTCCCCTTTAAATTTATATAATGTCAGTAATGGTGTGTTCATTATATATGCTTAATCTCCACCAAAAAAGATAATCCACCTATTCAAAACAAGGTGTTCTTGCCCTTGTGGAATAGGATTATATTAATAAGAAATACACGTGTTTTTCACCTGTCTAGTAGGTGACAAAGCAATAAAAGCCACAGAAAGAAGCAAATCACACAGTATTAAGCTGCTATCACGTTCTGTCCCTGAAATGGAAGGATTTTTGAGCACGACTGGATAGCTTTCCTTTGTCTGAACTCCAGCATGTGCCCGCTGAGCAGGAGACAGGCCGTGGGGACCTGAGAGGCAATTTTAACCTACTGGCATCAGGGAGTTTGAGGTAACAGTAAAAATTTCCTTATTTGCTGTTCAAACACTGCTAAGCTACTTGTCAGAATTTCAGGCAACTCGCGTGACTCAAAAGCCAGCCCGTCACCGACTCGGATTTGATAACGTCCCCTCTTTCCTAACAAGACAATGCTGGAAACACCGGGAGACACTACTGTGGGTTTTGGCAAACAGCTCGCTGCGGCTGCCCGCGATTCAGCACGTCTCCAGTCCTTTCACTGCAGAGCAGAGCAGGTGATGGGCCTGCTCTCGGCCTGTGCCACCTGGGCTGCAGGCAAAAGCAGCGGCCCCAGCGAACGTGCCCAGACCTGACATAGGTTGGAGCAGTTTTCATTCCCAGCTGGGAGAAGAGAAGTTGAACTTCCCTGTTGGTTTGGAACTCTGTCACTGAGACTGACTGCAGAGCACAGCAGGGCTGCCCAGGAGGTCCCCCACCCTCCCTGGGCCCTGACGCCTCGGTCCCGCCTGGGTGCTGCACGGAGCCCTGGTGTGGCCCTCATCCGTTCTTGGGGACCCCCAGGCAAAGAGGAGACCTCGAGAAGACGGTCCCGGGAAGGAAACAGATGGGCTGTTGAAGAAACAAGTCCGAGGGTTCTGTCAGGGAGCCATGAGATGGAGGAACAGCTGACTTGCTGGAGAAGGTACAAAAAGCGGGAAGGGAAACAAGCCTCGCAGATTAAACGCAGCTGGAGGCGTGAGGCGCTCACTTAGTTACAGAAAATGGTGTAGGAACAGTTCCTATAAATCAGCGACACTGGTGCGTTGTACGTTACAGGACCTTCAGCAACTGTCCCTGTAAGCATCTGGCTTCACGACCAGGCTCTGTCCCCAAAAGGCACTGCTTGTCCCCGTTTTTATGCCCTGCGGTGGAGGCTGCACATGGGATTACTGGCAGAAATGACTTCTTAATTCTGCTCCCACCCTCACACCAGAAAAAGGGTGTTCCTGAGGCTTGATCATATTAGAAGCAACAAGTTAATGAATGTAGATTTTACAGGTGAAGGAACTAATAATGAACTGAATAGAATTTGCCGATATTGCATGCCACACTTTAAGACCTGTCCCCAGTGTGGCCCCTAAAATTGTTTTAGCTAAAGATCAGGCTTAGAAGAGGCTCTTTATGGCAGTGTCGCTTAAGTGTGACCCATGGGAAATACTGCTAACAGATGTCTCGGGCAGAACAGGGCAAGGAGCCTCTCCCGGTAAGCGGTCCCCAAAGCCAGGGCCGGTCCCTCTCCTCCCGCCATACTCCTTACCCTGCTTTCTATCCGGTAAGGATATAGCATCAAAGTTCAATCGGAGTCATTAGAATCGGAAAGGATTTTTGAGACAGGGTGGCCTCCACTGGTAAACGGAAGAGACCCATTTTCAATGCCACACCCACTCCTTTCTGGCAGGAGCCGAGGTCCTCTGTACCCAGCCTTGCTGTGGCTGGGGCTTTTGGGCAACGGCAGTGCCCGCCTGGCACCGTCTGCAGCACGAGGCGGGGGCGGCCTGGCCCCTCCAAGCTGACCTAGCTGTGTGCTCAGACTTCTCACACGCCCCCTCTGCCCCTGACCGTGCCGTGGAAGGAGACCCAGACGAGACAGCCACGGGCACCTCCGTCACTGCCACCCCGGCACAAGCCTAGTGAGGGACCACGAGGGGAAGAAAGGAGCCGAGGCTGCTCTGTTGGCTGTTTGCTGATTGACTTACTCCCTTATAAGGATGACACTCAACTCATTCACTCGCTTCCTCCTAAGCCACTCATGGCTTCTCGTGCGGCTGGCACTTGCAAGGCCCTGGGGGCAGGTACACACGTGGATGGGGGCTCAATCGTGGCCTTCCAGAACTGGCGGTCTGAGGAGGGACATCGACACAGAACCCAACAATCCCTTTCCAATGTGCTGGGAATGCGGTTTTACCTAGGAGCGTGCCTCCACTCCCAGAGAAGCATGTGAGCTGTACCGTGTGACCGCCTCCTACACTGCCACCAACCTCCACACAGGGCTGACCGGTTCAGGGTGGGCCCCTTCTCCAACAGAGCCGATGACTCTACGGTGGGAGTCTTAGGAGTCTGGACCCACAGAAACCGGGATTTCCAAGGGCTGACTCAAGACATCGTAAGGCTCGAGGCAGAACATGGCTAACTTTCTGCCATGTGGACTGAAAAGAGAGCAAAGGAGAAGAACCACGAGAGAAGGATCTGGTTCGTTGGAGCCATGTTGGGCTCTGCGCAGAAGTGTGGAGCCTGCTTGGGGTTCTCTCCCTCCTTCCTCCCTCTCTCTGTCCCTCCCTCTCTCGGCCCCTTCCCTGCTCGCACTGTTTCTCCCTCAAAATAAAAGAAACAAGTACACGTTTTTTAAAACTGTAGCTTCTGGTCCCGAGTGGTTTTAGGACTGGGACTTGGGCATTGCGTATGCTGCAAAGTCCACAGAAGGAAGAGACTGAGGAATCAGATGGCTCTGGGTTGACAGCATAGACTCTCACGTCAGGACTTTCAGGGAGTAGGTTAAGAGTTTGATTCTGAAAATAGGAAGGAAACACTTCTGCTTCCCTGAGTTTCAAAGGACATGCTCATAGGCATTTGCCTACTTCCTACCCCCATACACTATACACGGCACTTTTGCATAATCTCATTTAAATCTCTTTTCCCCAAGTTCCTTTATTTTGAGACAGAGAGAGAGCGAGAGCACACAAATGGGGGGCGGGGGGGGGGGGAGAATCCCAAGCAGGCTCCACACCACCAGGGCGGACACTGATGCAGGGCTCAGACCCGTGAACCGTGAGATCATGACCTCAGCCCAGATCAAAAGTCGGACACTTAACCAACTGAGCCACCCAGGCGCCCCCTCATTTGAACCTCTTTGTAACCCCCTGACACAAGAGGGCAGACACTGTATCCTCATGCTACAGATGAGGAAAAGGTAAGTGACCTGCCAAAGGCAGAGGCCTGAGCGGCCCAGTTCGGCGAAACAAGGATGTGAGCCCAGGCCTCTGCACCTGCAGCACGCCTCCTGGCTCCACGTCCAAGCTCTGCTGTGACCCTCCGCGATTCCTCAGAGGCAGCCTGGTGCTGCCTCCCAACGCCTGTGGTCTGGCATCTGCTTTTCCCACCGTGGAAACCGCGTTGTGTGCACCCGTCCGCAGCTCAGGGCCCACGTGCCTGTCGCAGAGTGTGGGTAGGAGTCATGCAGGTGGTGACAGACATAGTATTTACCGAGTGCCTGTGCGTTTAAAATTTTTTTTAACGCTTATTTTTGAGAGAGACCGAGCATGGGCAGAGAGGGAGGGAGACACAGAATCCGAAGCAGGTTCCGGGCTCTGAGCTGTCAGCACAGAGCCTGATGTGGGGCTTGAACCCACAACCCGTGAGATCATGACCTGAGCCCAAGTCAGACGCTTAACCGACTGAGCCACCCAGGTGCCCGTGTGCCCATATTTCTAAGGACCCCACGCATGGTAACTAATTCATCTTGACAATTCTATGAACCAATTACTCTGATTACACTCCCATTCAGATGAAGAAACAGACCCTGAGAAAGTGACATAATGCTGGATGTGACACAGCGAGCCAGGGGGGCGGGACCGGAGCCCTGGCAGTCTGCTCAGGAGCCTGAGCTTTCAGTGTCCCTCTGCCCTGGCTCCCCAGGGACGGCCCACTCCCATGTCTTGTCCCAGCTTAATCGTGCACCCTCGAACGCCCTGGCCTGGCTAACAAGTCACTTGCTCACAGGACCTATGAAGAGCCTAATGCGGATCAAGAGCTGAAAATGCTTCCTTCCATTCTGTGCCTTACAAAATCTCTCCCATTCTCAGCTTCGCTTTCTGAAAAATTACTTTGTTGCTTCCAGCATCTTCCAAGATCCTCATTCAGCCGCCCCTGGGTTGTTCTACTTTATCTGTGCCTCTTTTTCCCGTTCCCACCCGGCCACCTGAACGCTGCAATAAACTCCGCGTGGCCTCAGACACTCATTTGCAAACCCACGCTGGGCCTTCCTGCCGGGATGGCGCCTGACCACCTGCTCACCTCTGGGGCTGTCTGGGGGCGGCGGGCAGCGGACGGAAGCGTCCTTGGCGAGGCTCTGAGTGCCACTGTGAGCGTGGAGTCTGCAGCCCACACTCCCTCTGTTCTCCTCTCAGTACAGACTGTAATGTGTAAAGACCCTTCTGTGAACCCCGAAGCAAAATACCATGTTTCCAGTGACATAGAGACCTGCACGCGTGCTTCTCCAGTGTGTGCACACACGGCTTTACCGTGGCAGCCGGAGTTCCAGAAGATCCTGATTTCTTGATGCTGGACTCCTCACCGCAGATCAACCCATTGCAGCATCTTTAATCCCTCTTCCTGCCCACACCGATGCTGGCTTCTGCAGCCCCGACTTTATTCTGTCCCTGCGTGCTCTCCCGTTTTCTTGAGCTCTCATCCTGCACATGATGTCTGGCAAGTCTGTGTGTAGGGGTTCATCTCTCCTAGATCATTCTGAAGCCAGTGGTCTGGCCACCCCCAAAATGGGTTCTGCCTCCTGATACACAGATGACCTCTGATGTAGCCCAGTGCACCGCAGCTGGTTTGTCTCCAGTTGCTGTGCGGGTGCCATCGCCTTCCCGGAGGAGGAGACGTGGTCAGTCTGTCCGACGCCTCCGATGCAGACTGCCAGTGATGGTGTCGCTCACGATGGAGGCCAACAGTCAGCACTAGGCAGGAAAAAACAACTGGTTCTTTTTTTTTCTTTTTTAAGAGATCAGTATCAAGGGAGTTCAGTGAATAGCCGGTAGCCTAGTTATGCCAGATTCAGTTTCACATGGCTCATGAACCCTGAAAAGGGTAACACGTTTGCTGCATTGCGTATTTCAATTAGCATCTGAATTAATGCAGCAGCTGCAAGCGTCATCTTTATTTCCTTCTAAAACGATGAGTCAGACTTAGTCCACAGTTCTCTTTTCCCCGAACACAGCACAACACGGATGTGTGCACGCTGTCAGGAGACAAAAAGGAGCTGCCCCCCAACCCTCTGTCCCCAGTTCTCAGCTTCCAGACAGCACAGCGAGAGGCTGGCGGGAGGAAGTGGGGTCTGCCCTGCTGCGGTTTGCCGTCCGCTCTTTGGAATCTTTGACGTTACAAAGCCTGCTTTTCTTCTCCCTTCCTGGCAAGGCCACCAGACACCTACCGTCTGGAACGGGAAGATACCCGGGGACCCGACACGCGGTGACTCTGGGGCCGGAGCGATGAGCGGCGCAACTGGAAGAGTGGGTTTCAGAAACGAAGCACGTCTCTGCAGAGCTCAGTCCCCGGAAGCTCTCGGCAGGGCTCACTGTGGCCGCCGGGCTCTGACAGAAGCCGAGCCGTCTGAAGCCGAGGTCACCGTGAGAAACCTGAGAAATGGGGGCGCGTGGCCCAGACCCTCGCTTGCTTCCTCAGCGACCAGAGGAAAAGCCGGGAGAACGATGGGTGGCCGTTTGACAGCCCCGGGGTGGAGGCTACCGGGATATTGTCCCCCGGCCCCGTCGGACTCCCCACGATTCCCGTGACCCCACACTGTCCAGTAAGACAAATGCTCCGAGCCGAGGTCGCCACACACACTCTACAACCTTACGTCCCCAGAGCTCCTCCTGCCTAGGTCGGTGCACCCAGCAGACACGCATTCCTTGCTTTGGCCGGTGACCCAGGAGCCGGGCCCCAGGAACGCTCTTCTCAGGCAGGGAGGCCGGGAGCCAAGCAAAATCGGCTCATGTCCCCCGAGGCCCGTGGGAGGGTGGCGCCGCGTGGCCGCCACCCAGGTGCTAGCCCATTTTCCCAGGTACGTTTCCTCGACGCACATCCTAACTCCGACTTCTTCTCTGTCCTGTCTGCGTCTCGGCTCCTCTGCTGCTCACCCTGGAGAAGGTCTTCCCGCTGCCCTGTGCTCTGACACCTGCATCCTCTAGGCCCTTAGGGAAGCCAGTCTCCCTCCCAAGGACAGCCTCTCCGGGGGCTCCGTGCCCCCCCCCCCAGGTCATGGTGGCTTCCAGGGGCCCCGCAGATGGTCCTGCAGACTTGGCACAGTGGGCAGATGGGGCAGGGACACGGACACTGCAGAAGAGCTTTCCGCAGTCCTTCTTCTGGAAGGACAGAGAGCTCCCGGGAGGAAATGGCTGCAGAGGAAGTAGACGGATCTCAGAAGGAGCAGCTCGAGTCCCTCTCCCTCCTGGAGATCCCCCTGCTCCTTAGGTGAGAAAGTCTGCACTGAAAATCTAAGACCCCAAAGGGTTCCCCAGAGTAATTGATTTTTCACGGTGTTTACTGGGAGAGTTTTGTTGTAAAACTCTGAAAGGCTCCAGGGAAGGACGCAACACTGGTGCAGAGCAAGGTGCACCTGCCGGGCCCTCAGGGTGAGGAAACTTCTGGCGATGCTCCTGGGGCGCCCTGAGGCGGCAGGTGCCGCTGGTCCCACCCACGCTGACTTCTCGCACCCTCCGCACAGGGCCGCGCCACTTAGAAGGACAAGCTGTCTCCACTGTCGACTTTGCACCTGTCACCTTTAGAGCACCTTCCTCTTAACCCACTCCAAATCCTACCAGTCATTTTCGGAAATATTTGAGAAAGAGTTACTCTAAAATAACGTACTTCTCGGGGCGCCTGGGTGGCTCAGTCAGTTGAGCATCCGACTTCGGCTCAGGTCATGATCTCGTGGTTTGTGGGTTCGAGCCCCATGTCGGGCTCTGTGCTGACAGCTCGGAGCCTGGAGCCTGCTTCGGATTCTGTGTCTCCCTCTCTCTCTCAGCCCCTCCCCTGCTCATGCTGTGTCTCTGTCTCTCAGTAATAAATAAACGTTAAAAAATAATTTTAAATAATGTACTTCTCAAGTGCTTGTAAATCCTACCAGCACTGCTGGGCAAAATGACAGAAAAACAGGAACAGAGAGAAAACATCCCAAACAAAGAAGAAATTCCACTGTTTCCAAGTATGCTCTCTGCTTACACCGTCTTTTGTGACTCTCTCGTGTGCATGTGATACAGAACCCGGATCAGTAGGTTGTCATCGACCGCACCCCCCCCACCCCCCACCTGCCACCGTCTGATACACATACTGAAAATTTCACCCACTGGCCTAAAGTGTGAAAAAAATTAAGGACGTTCTTTTTATCAAAGCACAAGTGAACTAAGTTATCAGTGAAGAGCAACCAATCCTTTCAGTCAGGACCCTCCATGGGGGACTCACGTACCCACTCTGTTTCGGTGAGGTCAAGCTGCTGGTCTGAGAACAAAGCAGCGGTTCCCAAGGTAAAGATGCCTGGACGCGGGCAGGGGGCAGCGGGAAGGGGCTGCCTGTGGAAGAGGCCACTCTCGGGCCGGGACTGGCCACCCCTGCCCAGCTGCCCGGGCTCCAGGGTCCAGATCATTCTCCAGTGTCAGGGCAAGAAGTTCCTACAGGTTTGTCGAAAAATGACCTCAGAGGACATGTGCCTCTAACGGGGACAATGCTTGTACGACCAAATCTCCGCGCGCCTGCCTGTGCCACTGAGGGCCACCTGCTCTCGGGCCCGGGCCCGGGGAAGGGGCACACGTCTCCGCCACGCGCCCCGAGAACACTCGAGCACACAGCTACCTGGTCTGTTGATGAAGTCACAGTGGCCTAAGCCCGCGATGTCTATTCTCTTCACGAACAGCACCATGCTGGTCAGGTTCGCCTCCTGCATCTCGGCTGGCTTGAGCGGCCGCATGTCTTTGGAGGCGAACTCCTCAGAGTACAGACGGAAGAGTTTTCCTGGAAGAAACCAAGGGACATGGTTACGATGGCTCCCGGTCGCCTGCCTCCGGGGATCTGCAGCCGTGTTCGTGGCCGTGGTGCTACCTGGAGAAGACGAACCGACAATCTGCTTGCGTATCTCCGCTTGGCTTTGGCTGATGGGCTGCGTGACAAGTGAGTTCGCTCTGATTCTAGGGTTGTACACCTGTGAACGGAAACACAGCATCTTTAGTATCACATCGCTCAAGATTTCGCGGGCTCGCCGGACCGGAGGGGACTGCGTGGTCCAGGGCGCTTTGCGAAATGCCCAACTACAGACTCATTTTCTCGGGATGACATTTGTTATTGTTTTGCTTGCCCTGAGAGAGAAACGGCTAGTGGCTTGATAAATGGATTTAGAGACTGTCTGCTTTCAGTGTAGGTTCAATAAACACAGGGCCTCCGCACCATCTCCCGAAATACTGGTGGTGTCGCTTCTCAAAGCACGACCCTGTGAACGATGACGGATCGTCACACGCCACACAGGGAAAGGATGATCACCCGCCGGTGCTGTGTCTCTTCGAGGTTCCATTCTAGTTGTGATCTCAGCGGTCTGACCTTGACAACAGATGCTGAGCCCTCCCAGTGCTAGGGGCTCAGACAAAAACGGCATATGGCACCAAGCGGGATTTTTCCTACGGGTGGTTTGAGGGGGAAAGTGACAGCCCTGGGTTCTCTGAACGGTGGACGAATTCAGTTAAGAGCCCAAACCGGTTCCCAGGGAGCCTTCAGAACGGCTGGAATTGCTCTGTGACAGTAACATACTGCGGGGACCCAGTTTCCTAAAGGGGTAAAAGCTACGTAAACCTCTAATGATGTGAAATGGATCAATACCCTGGTACGTTCTTTTCAAGTTCTTAAATGCTATGATTCCTTAAGTTCCAGTGTCTTTGAGAGTTTGAGATAGCCTACTTCCATTTTCCTAATTTTTTTTTTCTTACAGGTAGTTATAAAAGTATTTTTAAAAATTTAGGATAGGATTTCATCCTGTCAATATTAAACCCAAAATCTGATAAAATTAAAGCCAGTGTACTCGAAACTAAATTCTGGTAAATCACCAAGATGCTAATTACTTTGAGAAAGGGGGTTCCCCCAAGACACTCAGACGATGTACGTAGGAAAAGACTGGTTCAGGAGTCGGATCCTTTGCCTTGCTAGCACCTTAGCTGAAGAAAAACCACTGACAAGAGGAGCCATCACTTTTCTGCTTTAGTAGCTGTGTCTTTTCTCAAAACGTTTTCCTCTGGCACCTCAATTAGCGTGGGGATTACCAACAAGCTAACGAAAGTCAGTAGTGGGTAGGCAAGACTGGTCACCAGCCGCGATAATCCTCCTGTGTGCGCATGGGCAACTCAGAGACTCATCAGATCGCAGAGTTCATCCTCACTTCCTGCTCGATACGATGGCAGGAACCCAAGAAATGGATTCTCGATGCTCATCAGCAGGCTATTTACGCACGTGACAAGAATTTACCTTCCTCCTTTCCACACCCACGTCGATGACAAATTTGACTGTGTTACTCCAGATCAAAGACTCTCCAGAGCTAGTGGTTAGTACCACTCTCCTCTGATAAACTTGGCATCTTTTTTCTGTTTCCTCATTTGGCTTGAACAACGCACATTTCTCTTCTGGGTACAGAGGAACCACCACCAGCTCCCCTAGATCTGGGTTCAAGTTAGATCCTTCTTGACAGACCATTTCATAGGCCTTTTCAATATCCTAAAGTAAAAAAAATAACATCATCCATGAGAATAAAATATGTTACAACTTCATCACTTTAAAAAAATATGTCTAAGTTAAATAAAACTACAGCAAAAGGTACATAATGTATGCAGGGAAAGAAATACCTGTGTTGTCTCTGTGAATCATTACATGAAAAGAAGACCCGACTAGATGAGTACATTTCTTTGGGGAAGTTAAATGTAACTTATAAACAATTTCATTGCTTTTCGTCCAAAATGGTCTTCCTCTTGGGAAATGTACTGCCCGTGCCTTTTTATGCATTTATCTTATTTTTCTAGATTGATGCAATTTCTCATATCCGTTAACAATGACAGGTAAACAGAAGCTATCCTCATATTGATGGTGACGCATCACTGTGCTTTAATGGTGGAAGAACTAAGAATTCTAAAACAATCTCTGGGTCTGTAATAAAAGCATATACACACCCATTCTGTAACCAGGGTTTCTGGGTCACTCTGACCCATTAGCCTTTAAGATCGTGTAAATGGAATGAAGTCGGCAGGAGACAGTCGGCAGGAGACAGTCACTGCTGATTTACACACTGTGGCATGATTCAAGCATGTAGAAATATCCTTTTAAATTGTTTCACTGACAAATGTATTGGGGGAAGAAAAAGTAAGTTATTGCCCCTAAAACTACGCATAAGTAAGGGGGCAAAATGCTCCAAAGGCAAGGCATTTTAGGTACTATTTTTCTTTTTTTCTTTTTTTTTAACATTTATTCATTTTTGAGAGTGAGAGAGACAGAGTATGAGCAGGGGAGGGGTAGAGAGAGAGACACAGAATCCAAAACAGACTCCAGGCTTTGAGCTGTCTGCACAGAACCCGACGTGGGGCTCAAACTCACAGAGTGCAAGATCATGACCTGAGCCGAAGTCGGATGCTCAACCGACTGAGCCACCCAGGCGCCCCTAGAGAGTATTTTTCTATTTCTCAAATACAACTAGATTTTTAGGACCTCAAATAAAAGAGGTGTCATTTAATGTAACTCTTAAACCTTTGGAATTTACGTTTCTGAAGTTTCTACTTTCTTCAGGGCCCAGCTAACAAACTACCGAACGGAAGAAGTCTCATTTCGTTCATCAGATTGCACTAAAAATCGACACGAAAAAGGTGACTTCTCGTGACCACTAAGACTTTTGAAGACCTAAGACCTATTCCGTTTTCCCGTGTCCAGCTCATTCTCCTTCCTTCCCTTCATCTGTAGAGGAGGGTTGAGTTGACTCAGGGTTTTGTAGGGGACACATCTGCCTAGAAAGATGGCATCACAGGTCTCTAAGGCCTGGGGAGAGCTGTTTGAAAGTGACTCCCGGGCCTCCAGGAGGCCCCAGGAAGCAGGGCAGAGGCTTCCACGGGAGCAGCTGTCAGGGACACCCTCCCGTGTAGACCCCCTTGTTCTGCACAGAGGTGGCGTCCTTGGGGCAGATTTCTACCAAGCCAAGAGAGTACCTGCTGATCATAATAAATGAAAACTTGCCAGTTGGAACACTCAGAACAAAATGATTTCTCCGTATTTCTAATTCTGATCACATCACCATTCCACGTGCAGACAGCCTATTAGAAATTACCAGGAGGAGGACAGAGATGTGAGCTTTGTCTCCTGCCCCTGGCTGCTGCTCGGCCCCCCAGGACAGGCCCCATTCCATCCCTCCCGGATGACCCCCCCCCCCCCTGCCGCCCCTGAACAGGCTGCCACAGGCATTCCTGGAGCTGGAAAAGGAGGCTGATTCCAGCAGCCCGCTTGTGGGCTATTATTTTTCAAAATAAACCTTCCAACTGCACTCAAACATTTCTTATTCTCTTCGGATACTCTTTAAAAAGTGATTTGGGCCACTCAGTTTTTATTTGCTTCCCATTGCTAAAGCTTTGTGGTTGTAGGTGGGTTCTAAGGTTGAGTTTTGTTCTGAATGGAGAACGAAAAAAAGAAGAAAAGAACTCTTCAAAAGGAAATAAAAAAGCAGAGCAAAATAGACACTGACAGTGTGCACAGTGTAGGCGCTTCAGGCTCAGCTAACAAAGGATTTGAGGCCATAACCTTCAGAATTTGAAGGAAAAAGCTTAAAATACTGTTCACTTTTTTTTTAATTTTTATTTTTGAGAGAGAGAGAGACAGAGTGCAAGCAGGGGAGGGACAGAGAGACACCGAATCTGAAGCAGGCTCTAGGCTCCGAGCTGTCAGCACAGAGCCCAAAGTGGGGTTTGAACCCACGAACCACAAGATCATGACCTGAGCTGAAGTCGGACGCTGCACCGACTGAGCCACCCAGCGCCCCAAAATACTGTTTATTCATTTCCTTCTTACTCAATGTGTCTGTGCACTTACCCATGTGGGGCCTTCCTGAGTCACCTGCAAAGCCACGGAAAGCACGGTGACACATGCAGGGAGATCCCCGGGCCCAAGACGAAAAGGCCCACAGAGACGCAAATACGCAGGGCATTTCCCAGAAAACCTTCCAGGCGACAATGCCATCCTGTTTAAAGCAGCACAGCAATCTGGCTGCTGGCACCATAAATCCCAACTTCATTTTCTACTTCACGTATTTCACTTTTTTTTTTTTTTCAGGTTAAAAGTTAAAGGATAAGGAACTATAAACACTGAGGGCTCAAAGTCTCAGTTGAGTGTCAAAACAGGACAGCCTGTGACGATGGGGATTAATTCACAGCAGGTTGAGGTGCTGAGCGAGCGGTTACAGACAACGGGAGGTACCCAATGCTCACCAACCCAAAATGTGTGAGGGCATTTCTACAATTTCCACTGTATCTCTTTAGGGGCGCCTGGGGGGCTCAGTCGGTGGAGCGTCCAACTTCAGTTAAGTGTCAGTTAAGTGTCCAACTTCGGCTCAGGTCATGATCTCACAGTTCGTGGGTTCAAGCCCTGCATCAGGCTCTGTGATGACAGCTCGGAGCCTGGAGCTTGTTTCAGATTCTGTGTCTCCCTCTCTCTCTGACCCTCCCCCATTCATGCTCTGTCTCTGTCTCAAAAATAAACATTAAAAAAAATTAAAAACAAAATAAAACAAACTAAAAATAAAACAAAATAAAAATAAAATAAATAAAAATAAAATAAAATAAAATAAAATAAAATAAAATGTATCTCTTAAAGGGCACCTGGAGGGCTCAGTTGGTTAAGTGTCTGATTCTTGATTTTGGCTCAGGTCATGATCTCACAGTTTGTAGGATTGAACCCTGTGTGGGGCGCTGTGCTGACAGCACAGAGCCTGCTTGGGATTCTCTCTCTCTCTCTCTCTCTCTCTCTCTCTCTCTCTCTCTCTCCCCCCCCCGCCCCTCCCCTGCTTGCACTCTCTTTCAAAATAAACATTCAAAGATTTTTAAAATAAAAAAAATGTATCTCTTAAAAAATGACAGTGCGTTTCTGTTAATGTACTGAACTGCTTGGATTTCCTTTCACGGGACATTTAACTGCTGTGGCAGGTTTTAACGTTTTATATGGAAATCAAGAAAGTTTCAAATAGTCTGGGGGGTGGGGGTGTGACCAACAGCGGCTAACATGGATTTCAGAGCAAGGCACATTTGTCGAAGAGAGAAACTGCGAGACCACAGGAGAGGGAGAGGCGCACCTTAACGGTAATCCTGGCAGACGTGGTAAAGAAGAAAAGGGAAAAGTCCGGCAGGAGACTGAACTGCGTCCAGCCTGTTAGGTGGGACACGGGGACAAGCGAGCCCAATGCCAGCTGTGGAAGGCGGAGCTGGACTGGGAGAGAAAGCTGGTCCCGGCAGAGGTTTGCTGAAGCCAGCGGGACGCTGGCGACCCAGACCTGCCGTGAGACGGTGCACCAAGAGGAGCCTGGCTCACGGGTTCCAGGCTGGCCCCAGGTCAGACCCGCGGCACCTGCCCACCATCGTGGCCTCGCTCCCAGAGGCTCGGAACCGTAAGGTCTGCACGCGACAAGTCTGTTTTCCAAAAATCCATTTTGGAATTTTTGTCTACTCTGAGTTGAAAGACTACTCATTCTATCAGTCTTAATTATCCTTTCTCCCTCCCGCCCAGAAACTCATGTCTTCTTTTTCACCTGGTGACGGACCATTCATTCTGCCAATCTTCCCTTCCTCAGGCTTCGCCCGGTTACACTGAGAACCTGTAATCGTCCTCATGGATCCTTCCCCTGGCCGCCTGTTCATCTTACCACTTTCCTCAGGACTTTCTTGAATCATGCAGGCTTAGGAAATGATCACAGAATAAATCGCTATAACAGGGAGAAGACCTCGTATTGAAGAAACTGTATAGTCCATACATGAAAAATCACTAAATCTACAGTAGTTATATATTTGAGATTCTGAATTACTTTCTTTATGGAAGCAGGTAAAATCTACGTTGTGAGACGGCTGTCTGAAGTTCCCGAAGCTGGGAGGGCCCGTCGTCCTTTATGCTTTAAACATCAAGCCGCATAAATACTTTGCAAGTATTTTTGAAAGAAGTGAGTACTTAAGGCTCTGAGGGAGAGCTGAGACACTTGTCTTTGCTCAGCTGGTGCCTCGGCCAACATCAAACAATCTCCCTTTCCCTTTGTGGTTTCTGCTTAATCACTGGAATCACTACATACTTGGGTCATGGTCTGCTAAAAAGTAGCACTTTTACTGAGTAAGATGATGGGCAGGAAAAAAAGACCAGGAAATTAGTCCCTAAGAAGAAAGAGATAATCCTTGAGATTCTGGGGGCTTCTAGATTCAGCCAACAGAATACTACAGGGGAAGTAGGGTCGGGCATAGCCACAAATGAAAACAAAACCCAAATCCACTGCAAGCCTGATGGCACCTTGACCACATAAAAGCAGTAGCAAAGACTCACACATTTCTTTCTTTTTTTTTTTTTTTTATGGTTTAATTTATTTGGGGCACCTGGGTGGCACAGTCAGTTAAGCGTCCGACTTCAGCTCAGGTCATGAGGTTGCAGTCTGTGAGTTTGGGCCCCTCATCAGGCTCTGGGCCGACAGCTCAGAGCCTGGAGCCTGCTTCCGATTCTGTGTCTCCCTCTCTCTCTCTGCTCCTCCCCTGCTCAAGCTCTGTCTCTTTCTCAAAAATAAATAAACGTTAAAAAAAATTTTTTTTAAGTAATAAAGTTTGAGAGAGAGGCAGCATGAGTAGGCGAGGGGCAGAGAGAGAAGGAGAGAGAGAGAATCCCAAGCAGCGCAGAGCCCCACGTGGGAGTCGAACTCAAAAAACCGTGAGATCATAACTTGATCCGAAACGAAGAGTTGGATGCTTCACGGACTGAGCCACGCAGGCGCCCCTCGGTGATACATTTCTAATTAACTCTTTTGGAACCACATTTTCCAGAATCCATGTGAGATCTTTCTCATCCTTTTTTAAAAGGACCCCAGTGCAGGGAGAGAGTCCTCTGGGTGGGCTAGACATTATACTTTCCCGTTAACACTGCGGTGACGACCGGAGGGACATCTGTGGGATGGGTAGAGGCCTCGTCTCCGGCACACGCCCCTGGTTACACGGGAGACAGTGAGAGCATGACGGGAGTCGGCGTGCATCTTCCCTCCCGAGACCATCTGGGGCAGACGGACACTCGGCCCGAGCCTGGTGTCAGCGGGTCAGCTCTGGGGACCACGGGCTGGAGACCCCCAAGCCGCCCCCCGGGCCCCCTCTGTCCTCACCGCCTGGGACTGCAGAAGCACTTCCGTGCTCTCCTTCCAGAACACGCTGTGTTTACCCAGCCTGCGTGTCTTCTCAAGTATTTAAAACAGGCAAGCGTTTCAAAGGCGACTCAGCAAACTGAAACCCGTACGTTAATTATTAACAGCCTCGCCACAGGGTCAAAAGGCTCCCCCCTAAGTAACCCAGCTCCGCCCTTAGGTCAGAATAGTACTTACTTGTTCACAGGCCAGAAAGACCACAATGTCTCCCTTCTCACCAGACTGGTGAATTTCAAAGATAAGGCGTAAAATGGACTCAAAAGACTCCTTCTGGGCCCCGCTCAGGTACACAACCTCCACGGGGTGCTGCTTCTTCACTTCTATGAGAGGCACGTTTCCGTAGTAAGACATGAGTCTGCTGATCAGGTGAGGGGAGGAGTTAATTATAAGCTTCAGTTCGGGTCTCGCCATTAAAACGTCCTTAAGAAGGCCAAGTAACACATCCGTGGCAATGCTTCTTTCGTGGACGTCGTCTAAGACGATGACCCCGTAGCTACCCAGAAACGGACTGGACATCATCTCCCTCTGCAACATGCCGTCGGTGCAGTACCTACAAAGAAGAGGCGGTCAAGTTAGCGGTTCCTGGGAGACACCGGACGACGACTCCTGCCGCCACCACAAACGCCTTTGCCGTCCCCTAACTCACTCAGGAGTTAGCGTGATAGAATCACAAGTTACTACTGACTCTCGTCCAAAAGCAAGTTATTTAAATCTATGCCTCTCCCGTCATGTCAGACGAATTATCCCCTTCTCAGCAAACTCCCTCCTCTAAGCTCCGATCTTCTAGGAAGAAATGTTCCCCGCCAGGAGGAGGCAGTGTGTGGGTTTTGTACATAACATCGAGGCTTAAATAAAAAGGGGAAGATGGGGATTGATTTAAAACTCCACTAGACCCAGCAAAGCCTGGCCTTCCAGATTATATAATGCTAAAGGAACACTAAGGCTCAACCCTAAAGCTATATGGACCTTCGATTTTCCCTATAGCACAGAGATCTACTTCCTACCTTGTGTTCATAAGATCGCATATACAGTGCTTAAAAAAGCACTGTTCTGATGACTATGTAAAAAAAAATATATATATATATATATATATATATATATATATATATATGGACACTGTTAAAGTTTCATCAAATGCAGTTTATATTTAAATTCCTAATACAAAACTCCTGAAGGCTAAAAATGAAATCTAGAAAAGTTTTATTAGTAGTTTCTGAAATTAAATATATTGAATTTGACCTTGAATGAAAATCTGAGTAATTCTTTTAAAACCTGTGTTCTAGAGGGTCCATATTTGAAATTTATGTGTCATTCTACAGAACATCTTCATACATAGTTCAGAAAGACTATTCTAGGTATATAATATTTAGGTGTATCTACGGTTTCAAAAAGGGCCACCAAAAAAGCCTAAAGAAGAACTAAATTGTTACACAGAACGTGGGGGAGGGGGGAAGACAGTGGTAGGCATAAAGATTGTATTTACTAAGTGTCTATTACCTACCTAAAAGATTAGATACTAAGGGGTTACAAACAAAGTGGAAAAGACCATACCAAATACAGGACCTTGCCTTCCATAATCGGTAGTTAACCTTAAACCCTCTCATTCAAATAGCCATTCACTCTGAGCTTATTAAAAATTATGGCTACAATTAGATGTCCAAGGAAATGAATCTGGTTCCAGTTTACCTTTGTAACGAGAAAGTCGCGAACACGGACAAGGGGCTTACGCGTGTCGGTCACACGCGTGAGCTCGTCTTGCCCCCGCAGCCCCCCTGTGAACAGGGAGAGCGGGCACCCCATCTCACGGACGGGGAAGCTTAAGCACAGAGAGGTTCGGTGGCTTGTGCGGGGCTCAGGTGAGCAAGTGGCAGAGACACGCATTTGACAGCCACGTCGCCTCCTTTTCAGAGCGCGGAAAACCGAGGGGGAAAACGGGGGATTGCTTTCTTTGATCAGAGGGGGCTTTGCACTAGCTGTGGCCTCTTTGCTGCCACTCCCGCTCTGTTAGCCACAAATCAGAGTATCTGCTGACACCGCACCGGTTGGGGGCTGGGGGCCGGGGGCCGGGGGAGGGGGTGGTCGTCAGGGTGGGAAAGAGAGCAGTCTCCCAGCAGCAAGACAAACTGCCAAGTGAGGATAAAAAGGCAATGTGAGGGCCGGGCCCCCCAGCAAAGGCAGCAAAAGGGGGCCAAAGCGGGACCCCAACTCCCATCCACCTCCGGGATACACCTGCAGTTCAGCCCCCCTGCAGCCGAGAGCTACTTTCCAGAAAGAATGCTACATGCACGTAAGCACGAAACAAATGTCAACGTAAGTTGGAGTTCTTCGGGCGGCCGCCAGGATTGAATGCTTGGGGGGCGGGGGCTCTGCCTTAAAATAATCCCCTAGAAGCTACGTCCCAACACATAATAGACGTTTAAACGGGGAGATGGGTCTTCCACCTGCTCTGACAACATTGTTCGATTTCTCCAAAATTATTTATCTCCATGGCTTTCTTAAAAAAAAAAAACTTAATTAAATTTACACTTGATCCATAAAAGATAAAAATACTGTAATACTTCATTTTGGACGTAACTGTAACCGAGAGTCCCTGCCAAAACGTTTCCAGATGGCATTAAAGATATAAAAATACATACGTTAACTTTAGAATATAGTCAGAGCTGTCCTTTAGTTACTACCGCGAGCATGTGAAAGGCCGCTTCAAAATGTGAAGGGTAAAGAATCAATCTGTCAAGGTCAGGGACCCTTTGCTCTTTCGGGGACGTAGGTCCTGCCCTGTCTGCCACTGGCAGGGAGGTTTTTACCTATTTCATCTGTATCGTTTACAGACCATTTGCATCATAGAGTTTATGCCTAGGTACTAATTTGAGGCCCTGGCTATCAAAGCAGAAGGTGACGAGCCTATCTTCGAGAGGTTCAAGTCATAGCGCTGTTGACGGAAAGATCCCTCCTGGTTTAACACTAGCCTGACGCCCTGCGTCCTCTGTTTTTGAAGATAAACACTTGAGGGGAAGCGGCTCAGTACCACGCAAATGAGTCACACGGGCTTTCTGAACGGGAGAAGTCCCCAGACTCTTCCACTGGAGGATCAGGGCCCTCTGGCTCGGGGAGGGCACCGCTCCTTCCTTCCACTGGCAAACTTGCTGATGTGAGATGCTGGGGAGTCCGAGGAGGAGCACGCCGGGACCGCTGTCCCATACCACGGCACGGCACAGAGCACCGCGTGTACCCCCTCCCTGCTGGGGCAGATCTTCCCCCCCCCCCCGCCCCGTGGGCCCCACAAAGGAGTTACAGGTGTGCAGATACACTGTTCCCAGCACACTGGTCTCCCCGGCCCTCGGAGCGTCCAGGCCGCGCCTAGCTCGGCCGAAGCCCACGGGATGGCCAAGCAGCCTTGACCATGTCCTTGAGGTGCTGCTAACTACTTTCCACGTGGGCTGTGATGCAAAACTCCTTGAGCAACACGGCCTCAGGGGAGGGCTCTCCCCCCACTTATCCTTTCTCTTGTCCCTTTTCCTCTGTGTGCCAAGCCCTTGGAGCCCCCGGGGCAGAGGACATCTCCCCGATAAGTAGAGATAAGAAGAGGTCCCCCTCCCGCAACTTGTGGTGGCTGCTGAGAAGACTCTCTGGAACCGGGGAGGCTCCGACAAGTGCGGCCCGGAGAACGCCGGTCGAACCTGCCACGAGGAAGGCTGGAATCGAGGAGAGTCCGGCAAGCACCGAGCTTTCTAACTGACACTCCAGGAGCGGGAGGGAAGCCTTCCTGGAGGAGGTGACCCTTCGCGGCTGGAGGGAATCCGCCCCGCCCGGAAGAGGCGTGGGCATGCCAAGCGCAGGGCGCGTGGGCACACAGAGAACCACACGGACTATGTCAACCCAGGTAACTGGTACCGACCCGTCCCGGGGAGGAGCTCGAGAAGCACACGCCGGATGGTCTCTGGGTCCAAACGAACAAGGTCGTGGCCGTCCCCCACGGGTTACGGGGCGACGTGGGAGGAGTGGAGGCGGGGGCACAGCAGAGCGACCCCCCACCCCCCACCCCCCGACGCCGGGGGGGGGGGGGGGGGGGGGGGGGGGGGGGTGGGGAAGGGGATCACGTAGCCGACTTCGTGCCCGATGTTAACGTCCATCTCGTCTGCCACCCGCAGGGCGAGCTGCACGGCGCTCTGGGGGCGGACCTGCGTGCACACCACGCCCCCGTGCTGGTAGCGGACGGACAGGCAGTACTCGGCGCACCACTGGGGAACCTTCAGCGGGGAAAGAGGACACGGGATCAGCCTCCTCCGGAAGGAACTCGCGCTCTGCTCCGCCAGGGAAACCGCGGGTCGTGCGGCGGGGCTGCAACGCACCCGGGTTAGGGACACTGAGGCACAGGGTGATTCCTGGAAAATCACTGAATAAAGTTAGGACCAAACACGAGGTTGCAGGGGCTGTGAGAGTCTGACCACTTCCAGATGGGGGAAGAAGAAAAAAAAAACAACAACATAAAAATCAAAGGCAAAGTTAAAAAACAAACACACACATTTTCAACCTCAGCTATGTTTCTGAAAAGACTAATTTTTCTTCCCGTTGCAAGAAAGCTCCATGAGACCTATGGCTTCTGGTATCGACTACTGTGTCTTAAGCAATGGAAATATTAAATAGCACCTCTGTGACTCCAAATTAAAGCATTTACATTTAAACCTAAATGGCCGTAACAAAATAACCAAATAAGCCTCAACATATCCCCGGTAAGAGAAGCTAACGTACACTAGCATTTATCATATACAATGTAAAATGAGCCGGGGAGCTAGTCAACCACTCCATCCAGGTTTGGAAAGAGTTGATTCCGACGCTGCTGCTGAGTCATTTACACTAAAAATCCATTTACTGTATCAAGTTCGTTTGTGTGAGAATTAGTATACTAGAAAGTACCTGTTTCGGGGTGCCTGGGTGGCTCAGTCAAGTTGAGCGTCCGACTTCGGCTCAGCTCATGATCTCGCGGTCTGTGAGTTCGAGCCCCACGTCGGGCTCTGTGCTGACAGCTCAGAACCTGGAACCTGCTTCGGATTCTGTGTCTCCCTCTCTCTCTCTGCCCCTCCCCCGCTCATGCTCTGTCTCTCTCTTTCTCTCTCTCCGTCAAAAATAATAAACATTAAAAAAAAATTTTATAAAAAAGAAAGTACCTGTTTCATCTGTACGCTATAACCTGAGGTGCTATCAATAAATAATACTTTGTTACATGTTTTTTTCTTCTTTTTAATGTTTATCTCTTTGAGAGCAAGGGAGCACCAGCAGGGGGAAGGGCGGAGAGAGAATCCCAGGCAGATTCCCCACTGTCAGCACAGAAATAACACAGGGCTCAAAACTTCTGAACCATGAGATCACGACCAGAGCTGAAAATCAAGAGTTGGATGCTTCACCGACTGAGCCACCCAGGTGCCCCGTGACATGTGTTTTTAAAACAGATCATTCTAAGAGTGTTTTTAATTTTTTTTTTTTTAACATTTATTTAGTTTTGAGACAGAGAGAGAGAGAGAGCATGAGCAGGGGAGGGGCAGAGAGAGGGAGACACAGAATCTGAAACAGGCTCCAGGCTCTGAGCTGTCAGCACAGAGCCCGATGCGGGGCTCGAACTCACGGACCGCGAGATCATGACCTGAGCCGAAGTCGGACGCTCAACTGACCATCACCCAGGCGCCACTCTGAGAGTGTTTTTAAATAGATCTAAGATCTTTAGAGGTTTTCACATGTTTAATTATTTTGAGGTTTGCTATTTACTAGACCCGTCATAGAACTCTTAGATTATAATCCTCACTGTAATTTGACACTCGGCCAGAAATCATCAGTAACTCCAAAATGAGCCAGTGCTGTGCACTGCAAATCCCTAAACGTCAACACTGCAAGTGTACTTCCTCCATTTAAGATAGGGGTCAGCCTTGTTAACAGGTTGAAACCTAATCAGTAATTAATGGGTTCAGTGCCCACTCTGTCCTATGGAAGATGAATGTTTAAGGTACCAGCCTCAGGAAATCTAGAATCAAGGCACACGAGGAACCAACAAGGCACTACAGGGGCCAAAGGCCAGCATTCCAGGTCTGGTTTGTTACTAGTTTGTTCTGTTTTTGTTTTGTAATCTCTACACCCAGTGTGGGGCTCAAACTCACGACCTCAAGATCGGGCATCGTGTACTCTTGCAACTGAGCCATCCAGGTGCCCCAGCTAGTTGGTTATTTGTAAATCACAATTTCTCTAAGCTTCAGTTTCCTCTCCATAAAATGGGTTGCACAGAGGAATTACCCTTCAAGTCTAAGCTCCTGGGACGTTTTCTCCACAATGCTTACTGTGCCCGCGCCCCCCAGAGGCAGAAGACCCCCTAGGGTGCTACCCAAGACCACACATGGCTCACACGTCCTGCAGCTCCTGGGCTGTTCCTGGTGTCCACCCACCCTGCTAGACCATGAGCCAGCCCTGGGAGACCACAGGCTGTCTCTCTTGGTCACCAAATAATTGCAAGTCATTTTACTCAATAAATTTTTGATGAATAAACAAATTCCTTATACTTTCCAAAAATATTTTATTTTTATTTATTAAAAAAAAAATTTTTTTTTTTTGAAATAGAGAGAAGGCGAGGGGGGCAGAGGCAGAGAGAGACAAGGAGAGAGAATCCCAAGCTGGCTCTGCGCTGTCATCACAGAGCCCGAGGTGGGGCTCCATCCCATGAACTGTGAGATCGTGACCTGAGCTGAAATCACGAGTCGGATGCTTAACTGACTGAGCCACCCAGGTGCCCCCGAAATATTTCAAAAGCCCATGGTTCTGTATACTCTACCTTGAACTGCTCACCATCCCAGGTCACCTAAAAGGGAATTCATATAAAATTTTCTGTCTCCCTCATTCCCCAGCAAATAATTTTTAAATTCTTACCAAACCCTTACTTTTTAAAACCTGATTGCCTTCATGTCAGGATCCACTCTCCAGGTCGCTAGCTGAGACTCTACACAGCATTCTTGTGAAAACTGTATTAAAACCAGTTGTTTGAATTTTTGTGTCTCCACCAGACTGGAGAATCCTTAAGCTGGACATGTGTGGTTCATAATTTCCCCAATACTTAGCAGAGGACCTGACACATAATAGACATAATAAATATTTGGATGGATGGCTAGTTAAGGGTATCATCATAATAGAAGGACGGGAAAAGTCCTGGACTCAGAACTCAGCATGGGAGAGAAGTAATAAAACCAAGGGACGTTAGCTGCAAAGGAAGCTTGCGCAGTACTCACTAGCAGACGAACTGCATAAGAAGAAACAAATATCTGGGGCAACTGGGTGGCTCGGTCGGTGAAGCGTCCGACTTCGGCTCAGGTCGTGATCTCACGGTTCGTGAGTTTGAGCCCCGCGTCGGGCTCTGTGCTGATAGCCTGGACTGCTTCGGATTCTGTGTCTCCCTCTCTCTCTGCCCCTCCCCTGCTCATGCTCTGTCTCTCCATAATAAATAAATGTTAAAAAATTAAAAAAATAAAAAAATAAAAAAGAGCGCAAGACTGACCACACACACACTGTGCTTAATGTAAGGACGTTTGCGGACACGGCCCAGTGACTAGATGAGCACAAGTCGTGGCTAATTGCAGGGAGCCCCCTCAAACGTGGCTCTGGCCACGGACCACGCACAGCCCCCTCGGGAACAGCCACACGCAGGGAGCAGCAGCGAGCGACGGACCCGCCGAGGGAAAGGAAACAGGGAATCATCTGGCCCGTTGTGTACAATTTCTCTGGTCCTACATACCTTCTGGATCACTCCAAGCCAGCTAGGGCTCATCGACAGGTTTGGTGCCTTAGCAAATTGTGGACATTTCATGATTTCAAGGGACGCCAAGAAGACCGCTTCACAGGGCACGCCTGCCCGCCGCCCGCACCTACAATAAACCCCGTGCCATTCCTGCCCGGATTCTGATCCTCGGGAAGTGGCTTTGGCTTTGTCCTAGTATACCTTAGCCTCTTACCAGCGAAGTATGCATGTGTTCGAGATTTCATTTCTCTCTTCCACTGTTTCTCTGTGGGAGAGAGTCCCCCCCCCCCACCCAGTATTAAGAACGTATCTAAGTTGCAAGTGCCAGAACTTGAAGCACTTAAGTACCCGCACCCTTCGATCCATCATTTGGCTTTACTCCTTCCAGAGAGAAACACTGAGTTCTAGGCCACTGTGTGCCTTAAGTATGCTTTTGGAACTTGGCATAAGCTGTGCAACCTGGTGAACAAAATAGGAAACTGCCCCTCTGACACATGAATAGAAGAAAATAAAATAAACCCATCTACAGATTGATCCGGGAGTGCGGGCAGTAGACAACGCCCAAATTCATACATTTGGTCTAGAAACTCGCCCTACTAGAAATTCTGACTGCAAATAGTTTCATTCTGAGCTCACCGGACAACCGTTTCAAACTCCCTCAACCCAGGTTTTGAATGCCACCGCCCGGACTGCGTGACGTGCCACACGTGTGAAAGCCCGAGCCGGGAAGCACGTCTCCGTTCTGGGGCGCGGGGGGCCATCAGTGCCGCAGTGTGCGGTGAGAACGTGCGTCCCCGGCTCTCGCCTCCTGCCTGCAAGGAGATCCCCGGGACGCTGGCCCGGGTGCGGCACGAGACTAGGCGAGGACTCAGAGTCCTCTGAGTAACCAGAGTCTAATCTACCTCAAGGCTCCACCAACGCAAGTTAGTACTGGACTTCTACGCTGTACAAAGTCACAAAGGGAAGAGAAGACACTCTGTATTCCAGGCAGCAGGCGCGGAGGCCGGTGGCTGGACCTGGGAGAGCCGGGACCCGGGGTCCTCGGGGGGCCCGATCCGGCAGGCCCGGGACAGCAGTGGCAGCGGCATCCGTGCGCGGGCCCACGGCTGCCACTGTGGCGAGAAGACAGCCACGTGAGTTACATCCGTGGAGCACTTGCTGTCCTTCCACCCACTGGCAGAGATGGTCTCACCTCATCGGATGGACACATGCAGAAATGAAGTGAGCCAGACACGGCTCTACCCCTGTTAACGTAGCCTAGTCCCGAAGGCCTCCGAGCCCTCAGGTTATGTCACTCACCTGTCAGCGACAGCCTGGTTCCCCTTCTGCTCCGTAGGACCACGGAAGGCGCAGCCAGAGCCATGGCTCCGATCGCTCACTCTTATTCCGGTGCCAGAATCATAGGGACCCAGAGTTGAAAGGCACCTAGAGGACCTCCGATTCACCCCAAGGTATGCATCCCTACAGAAACATTCCCGC